GGGATATATTGCTCTCCTCTGCTTGCTGAGAAGGCTGTACTTGCCAGTGAGCTCTGTCCTGTCCTTGGAATGCGGAGTCGCTGAGCCTCTCCTGCAGAGGGGCAAGGGACAGCAGTCAGGAGGTTTCTTAATGTATCAGTGTTCAGTTAGAAGGTGCAGAGAGCTGGGCTGGCTCTTAGAACTCACATTTGACAAATACCCAGCTTCATTTTGCTGTAGATGAACTTGGCGGAAAGTGAGTGGCCTTTTGTCCATCCCTGTGTTGCTATCCCCATTCCCCTTCATGGGACTCTAGTGCAGACCTCTTTTCTCTGAGTGAAGTGGAGGCCTTGAGCTTCCCTCATCCCCCTGGGCCATACATCCACACATGCACACACACGCACACACACACACACATACACACACGATGTTCGAAGTTGATACAAATGCCTTGGCTTTAGTAAATTGGTGACAAACTTCTGATTTGAGGAAGGTAATAAATATATTTATTTAAATATATTTATATATATATATATTTTCCAGTTCTAAATCTACTCAGTATTTAGAGAGCACCACCAAGCCTCAGGAAATTTTTTTAAAGCATCAAAATCTCAAGTGACAAATACACACTAAAGCACGGTTATTTTTTTTTTCTGTTCAAACTGACTCCCCTGTTTCTTTGTTTTAAATTTTTAATTTTCATTAGTACACGTTTGCAGTACACAATGATTACATTCATTGTGGGGAGCTGGTACCCGCACGTAGCACATCTCAATCCTTTTCTCCCCTTCCCTTCACCTGCTTTGTAGAATTTTTGTGTTAGTATTAACATCATTCTTTAATTTATATGTATTTATCAAGTTAATTATTATAAGTACAGATTAATAGCCACATTAATGGGCCAAAAACAAAGAAACACATAAGATAATTATATTAAATCAAAGCACACTTTTTAAAAAAAAAATATTTATTGGTACATTTTAGATACACACAATGACCACATTCATCATAGGGAATTTGTACCTGTATATGATATATCTGCTTCTTCTTTCTTTCCCATTCCTGTTCCCTCCCTTTGACCCCTCTTCCCATTTCCCTCCCTTTCCCTTGACCCTTCTTCCCCTTATTTACAAAAGCTTTGTTTCCATTTTTCCTTCTATTCTCTTTTCTTCCTATCCTTTCTTTCTTTCCCCATCCCCTCCCTTGTTCCCTTTCTATTTGAATATTTTCTCCCCATTTCCCAATATCTATTACATATTTTGGTCCTTATTTCCACTTTTGGTTTCTTACACTAGAAAAATAATGTGGTATTTAAACATGTGTGTCCAATTTATCTCACTTAAGAGTATGGTCTCAAGGTGCATCCATTTAACTAGAAATGTCTCAAACTTAGCCTTCTTTATGGCAGAGTAGTACTCCATTACATTTTTTAAAATCACATCTTCTTTATCCATTCATTGATTGATGGGCATTTGGGTAGTTTCCAAGATTTAGCTATTACAAACTGTGCCACTATGAACATGGGTGCACATATATCACTGTAGTATGATTTTTTAAAATTCTTTTGGGAAGATACCCAGCAGGGGAATAGCTGGGTCAAATGGAACCTCTAGTTTTTAGATGGAATATCAGTGTTGTTTTAATTTTAAACAGTGATGTTGAACACTTTTTCATATATTTATTTGCCATTTCTGTTTCTTCATCTGAGATGTTATTATTTGTGTCTAGAAGTCCCCCCAAAGCTTCATGTGGTCATAGGGCTTTTTCAGAGGTGGCTGAATCTAGAGTATGTGATGGCGGGATTAGGGAGGTGTGATTACTAAACCAGGACACTGACTGGTTTGGCATCTCACTAATCCCAGTAGTCTGAATAAGATAAAAGGGATAGAAAGATGCTTTTAAGGTTCCCTTGTTCCTTTGCTACTGTCTGTCTGGCAAGAACTGTTGCCTCTCTGCCAATCTGCCTTGAAGTCAGCCTATTATGGACTGAAACATTTACAAACTGTAAGCCAAATAAACACTTTCCCCTCTAACTTTGGACATCAGGTATTTTTGTCTCAGCAATGAGAGAAAAGTATCTAAGATAGAATTTGGTACCAGAGAAGTGGGGTTGTTGGTATGACATTACCTGGCCATGTGGCTCAAGAGCCTTTGGAACTGGCTCGTGGGAAGGGGAAGAGTTAGGAAAGGTTTGGAAATGACAGCTGAAAAAGTAGAGCTGGAACACCTTAGGCTGTACTGTACGGGAGATTCTGGTCGGAACTCAGAAGACCAGAAAGCAGCTAAAGACCAGGTTCTGGAGGTTTCTGCTGGGAAGAAGGACTGCATTGGCTGCTGAACTCCAAATAATGTATGTTATGCCTTGGCAGAATGTTTGTTTGCATTTTGCTCACATCCAGAGACTTTGGTTGAGACTGAGATTGGCTGGTGGACTAATTAATCTGGCAGAAGAAATTTCAAGGCAGTCAAATGTTGAGGTGATAGCATGGCTACTGTTGGGGGCTTTTACCAGACTTATGTTCAGAATCAAGAGCAAAGAGTCCAGCACAATGATTTAAAACATTTTGAGTTTGGCCAGAAAGGAAGCTCCAATAAAGTTGCAGCCTGCAAAGATAGAGCAGAGGGGATCTGATTGCTGAGAAGGAACAGGAGACTAGAAAAGATGGCCTGAGGGTATCATCACAAAAAGCAGCAGGACTCCTTTGCAGCCTCAAAATTTTAAAAGTGAAAGACTTTGCTTTGAGAAGAGAGCACCCTGTTCCAGATGGTGGTGGATGTGCATGAGTCTTTGGGGGGCCAGGGATAGAATGTTATGGTTTCCATCACTGTAGTTATCTGAGAAATTATTTCTGATTTGATTTTTTTTCTAGAGCCTTTTCATCTGCTTTGCTATTTCCACTGTTACCACTTCAGGGAGCCCAAGTGGTTGACTTTTGGATTGTTCCACCTCATTCCCCTCTGGGTTTGCTTTTGGTGAGCTGGAAGTCTGGGTCTGCATCTTGTTTAAGTGTCTTCTCATTTCTTGTTGGTATTTTTTTGGTTTAAATACTGGGTTGATACTTGTAGATTGCTTATGGAGAGTATCTTTATTGCTAGTATTTAGAACCCTTAGGAAATGACTACTTCTCAGAGGCATCTTCCAGGGATAGCTGGCCTTTGGGTTTTGAGTCTGCCGTAACATCCTACCTCTTCAATTTATTGGAGATGAGAAGTTGCTGCCTATTTGGCTTAGCCCCTAGTTCTTTGGCTCTGGCCTATAGTATTTTTAGTGACCCTTAGGCACTCTCAGTCTTGGAATACCAGGAAGAACAACCAATTAGAACAATTATGTCACTTTGACTAAAGTAGTACAAAGTAGTACAATCAGCAACAACAATAGCATCAAACAGCCTAGAAAATGACAAACTGTGGTAAGTATTAATCTGCCACCTTTAATTGTATGAACTAGATTTATGGTCATATAACAAAATCCAAAACAAACCAGAAAAATGATAGTTAATTTATCCTTTGGGAAGAAAATTTAAAAGAAGTTGGGGCAGGAATAGAGGAATAGAAGAGTAAAAGATTAGAAGTAAGGCTAGAGGGCAAAAGAAGATCATGCCAACTTTGGGAAACTGGTGAAGAAAACAGGAGGGAAAGAGGGAAGGAAGAAATAACAACAAGAAAGAAAAAAACAACAACAAAAAACTACAAACTGAATTTACACTCCTATAAAAATAAGAACAATCAAGAAAAAGAAACAGTACAAAACAAAAACAGAAACAAGAAAAGAGAGAAACAAAGAAAGAAAAAAAGAAGAAAGAAATAAAAGAAAAAATGATGGAAAAAAAGCCTACTTCAAGGTGTGTCTTTCCTGTCACTGGTATACAACTTGGGCAGATCTGAGTTGATTAATCCCAGCAAACCAGCCATAGCTCTATGCCAGGGTAGTGAATATTTCCAGCAACCTTGCACCTTTAGTTCCACTGAAGTTAAGGCTGCTTTCTGACTGTGAGGGTGGAATTGGACCTATGGAACCTCCTACAGTCCATGTGCCCCCCACTGGCTCAAACTGAGTTCCCTGACCTTCTGCAGGTTTGAACTCTGACACTCCTCCTGGAAGCCACAGGTTGGAGCCTGCCTGAAGCTGTTGAGTTCTGAGCTCAGTTGTCCCCTCTCCAAGATGGCTACCAGCCAATCACTCTCTCCCAGAGGACATTCAAACCCCAACAACTCACCAACCACTACAGTCTTCTGCATCCACCATTCTGTTCCACTGGCATGTTTCTCTGTAAAGATCTCTTTGCCACCATTAACCATATGAACTAGATTTGTGGTTAAATCTAAAACAAACCAGTATACAGTAAATATGCCCTCAGTATGGCAATTTTACCTTCGGGGGAGAAAATTTTAAAAGTGTTGGGGGGAAAATAGAGAAACAGAAGAAGAGGAAGAGATTAGAACCAAGGCTGGAAGAGAAAGGAAGATTAGGTAAACTTTGGGAAACTGGTGAAGTCAGGGGGGAAGGAGAGAAGGGAAAATATTAGAACAATGGAACAGAACAACAACAAAAAAGCTAGAAACAATATTCAGACTTATATAAAAACAAGAACAAACAAGAAAAAACAAACAAAAACAAGAAAAAATCTAGTTCAATAGACATATCTCTGCTGTCGCTGGTGGACAAAGTGGAGAGATAAAGTCAAGATCCATGTTGATTAATCCCAACAAGCCAGCTATAGATTTACAGTGGGATAGTGGATAATCCCAGCAACCCTGAACCTTTAGTTTTAAAGCTTAGGCTGGTTTCTGGCTGTGAGGCTGGAACCCAATTTGTTCAGACAACTCTCCATGTGCCTCCTGCCAGCTTGAACTTGGCTCCTTGACTTCCTCCTGACTTGAACTCGGTTTTGCCTCACCCTGATGGAGCCAGCCCACAGCTGCTCTGAGTTCTGAGCTCAGTTGGCCTCTCCCCAAGATGGCTACTGGCCAATTGCCCTCTCCTGAGGGAAGTCTGAACCCAAATAACTCACCAGCCACTGCAGTCCACTGTGTCCACTGCTCTATTCCACTGATGCATTTCCCTGTGGAGGCCTCTGGGATCACAAGTAGTCACCATACATCCAGGTTGAGCTGCCCTTCCCATGAAGTGAGTCAGGGCTCAGGGAGAAAGTCATTTGCCACCTCCTTCTTTGTGGAAGTCTCTCTCTTTGCTCTCCTTATGGGCTTCTTGCTTCAGATCCTTGCTGGGTCCCAGGGACCTACTTCCCTCCTTCTTTGCTTCCTCATTTTGCTATATTCCAGTGTCAGGACACCAAAGGAGACTCTTTCTCTGCTGTTCACCATGCTGGCATCTTTCCAGAAGCCTAAATCAAGGTATACTTTTAGATGTATTGTAAGCCTGGTTATTTTATTGGGAAATAATGTCTCTTACTTTTTGAAAGATTTAAAGTAGTGTTTCTTTTAAAAATTTCTATGAATTAGTCAAGCCCTTTAGTAGATGGATTTGTAGCATCTAAAAAATAATATATTTCCCACTTCTGTTTCCTTTGAATTTACTATCATATTTGGGAGAAGTTCATAGAGGTATATACATGAAAACAAAATGCACTACAAAGTATTATTATGAAGTACCCAGGAGTCATATATTGAGCAGAGAAGAAGTGGAAAGAGAATGATGTGATAGGCAGATGCTATGGACTGAATGTTCATGTCCTCCAAAAATTCAGCCTGATCCCCAGTGTGATGGTATTAAGAAATAGGGCCCTTGTAAATGGGATTAGTGCCCTAAGGAGAAAGATGAGAGAGCTCCCCACCCCAGCTCTCTTTCTCTCTCTCCCTACTACCACCATGTGAGGATACAATGAGAAAATGGCCATCAGCATCCCAGAAGGAGAGCCACCACCAATTTTCCAATAGTTTGATCTTGGACTTCCCAACTTCCAGAACTGTGAGAAGCAAGCATGTGTTATTTTGTATAGGCCCCAGACTGTGGTGTTTTTGTTATAGCAGCCCAAGCTGGCTAAAATAGCAGGTATATTTGTTTCCTATTTGTGGTAACAAATTACCACAAACAGCAACTTAAAATGGAACCCAAGAGAGTCCACAGATCTGTAGCTCTGAAGTCCAGGCCAGCTGGGGCTGCTACTTGGTCCATTGTCTTCTTAGGGTCTCACAAGGCTGACATGAGCCTGTCAGCAAGGCTAAGCTCTTATCCAGAGGCTCGGGGGTAAGCATCTACTTCCAAGTTCATCCAGGTTGCAATTTATTCACTCAATCGATATTTAATAGCTATATTGATATCTGAATATTGGGACTAGAATGATGAGAAAATTAGACATGGCCCAGCAGGGCAAGGCCACAGGTTATGCTGTGTGAGCTCCCATTCAGGCTGTGGCTTGGGGGATAGAAACAATGCCTCTAAAGAAGTAACCCATGGCGGCTGGGGATTTAGCTCAGTGGTTTCGCCGCCTGCTGCACAAGCACAAGGACCCGAGTTCAATCCCCAGTACAAAAAAAAAAAAGAAGTAACACATGGAAGAGTGGAAAGTAGTGGGGGCAGATTTAAAAGATGATATATAAATAGGTGAAGCTTGAAGGTTTTTAGGAAGAGGCAGAAAATTTTTCCAATCAGCCCACTGGCCTCCACAAGGATGCAGAAGAAATCTCCCAGGCATCTAAAGTTATTCAAACCCATTTGGGGACTGGGATGCCTCCCCTACCCACTGGAAGGGAAAACCACCACTGCTCTTGAATTTTAAAGTACTGTGAGGACAGGTGGCTCCTGTGAGCCAGTTTCCATAGTGATTGTACAACTGGGGGGGAACGGTGGCTTTGGGCCTATGTGGAGCCCCAAGCATGTCACCCAGCCTCCTGTTTGGCCACCCAGCACCCTGGAGGAGGGGATGTGGACTGGGGGTTTGGGAATCTAGGCTGCATTTGATGTGAGTTTGGGAACCTAGGCTGCATTTGATGTGCACTCACTTGGCCAAGCTCAGCATTGAAGGAAATCATCCCTAATCCACCTCTGTGGCCGGGGCAGGAACCTGCAGGATGTGCAGAGAGGTCATGAGCTGGAAGTTCCAACCCAGCCATGGCAGCCATAGGTAAAGAATTTTCTTAGGTTGTGAAGTTCTAGTAACTTGTTCTGAGAGATGATGATGCTTCTCCAGCTTCAGAAAAATAAGGATAAGCAAATGCACCTAGCATTTGCTTCAAAATTTCCCTGGGGTACTACCAAGTGTAAGAACCAGGCTGATAACCCAATGAAAGCGACCACTTACAGGGCTTCTACATTAGCTTAGGAGTTGCAGCAAGCAATTCCTATATGTTTGCTGAGATCCTTCCAAAAACCCTAGGAGGCAGACATCATAGGGAAGCAGAGGCTCAGAGAGGTTAAACAGCATGTCCAAGGTCTCACAGAGAGGAGCTGGTCACCAGGACTGTGTGCAGGGTCTGTTGAGCAAAGCTTATGTTTGTACAGTGGGACACCACTACCTCTTGAGAGCATTCCTTATAAGGAATGAAATGTGTTTTTTATTCTAATTTTTCAGAATGTTCAAAAATTTACGAACTAGAACATGCTTATGTTAGTTGCTTTGATGGCACGGTTTGAGATTAATTCACTGATCAGAGCACATTATGAATAACCTTGACTGAAAAGCATAATTATAACCAGAGAGACGTCACTAAAGAAATCTTGGGAGGTAGACAATATTGTGTCCTACAGACCCCCTGATCAAAGCCCTGGACAGCTTATATTAGCTGGGATGTGGCCTGGTTGTTCTCTCAGCATGCTGGTTATTGAAAATTCCCTACAGAATATCTGGGCCATTGTGGCACCTGAACAACAGCCACTGAGACTGAACGGGCCCAGGATAGACACTGTCTGGGAAAACTTCCCAGCATGCAGCTTGCATCTCTCTGGATTGGAAAGAACTAAAAACCAAAGGGTGAGAGGGAGAAGGCAGAAAGAGAGAGAGATTAGAGAGAGATAAGCCAAGAGGAGAAAAGGGGAAAGGGTAGACTATGCTTGCCGAGTCCTGTCGGAATGGATTTAAGTTCCCCTTTAAGAGCCCCAAAGACACCAGCCCCTTCAAATGCTGATTATAAAACATATTTAACCCTGACCTGAGCCACAGAGTGATATCCTAGTATCTCAAGTCTCAGTTTATTTCTGAGCCAACATCATGGCGAGGGAACTGGACTGGGAAGGAGCTAGAGTTTTGATCTTGACTTTGCAACCAATTATACGACTGGGAAGAAACCAAGTGTGTGGAATTAAATTTCCTTGTCTTGAAAATGCGGGCATTGAACTAGCTAACACAGAGCAATAAAAATGAAAAATGGAGTGGAAAGTGAAATCAATTGTCCACAAAATCTTAGCCTGAAAAATATTTTCCCCCAAGACATGAAGAAAATCATGGCAAACATGCTGACGGTGATTCCTGAACCTTTTCTAGATAAATGCAGACATTTACCTCTTTATTGTACATGTTATATAGTCATTATATGTAAAATTTTTGTGGATAAAAAACTAATTTGATGTTTGACAAGCCTATCCCTAAAGATTTGTGGACCCTAGAATGAGAATAGGAATGGAAGAGAAATACCATATGTCTAAATATGTAAAAGTTATAAATCAAGGTAAAAAATTCGGAATGACATACGTGCCATCCTCCAATCTTGACAAATATATCTTCCTAACAACCTTGGAGGCTAGGTTTGAATTGAAAAATCACAGAGAGCTAACTACAAACCCATCCTCATTTTTCCTCCCTCTGCTCCCGTCTCCACTGCCAGCCCACCGGCAAAGCCCTGTCCCAACCCCCTGGGCACGGCTGTGTCTTTTCTACCACATGGTTCTGGGCTACACACTCAGTACAGGGTTTGGGTCTCACAGGGCTGGATCCAGGATGGCCCTGAGCAGGCTGGAACTTAAGCACATGGGTGCCCGGGGCATGGTTTCTGCAGGATGGAAATGTCCCTCTGACTTTAAGGACTCCATGTCCTGTGTGGAGGGGACAAATGAGGGCCAGGGTAGAGCCCTGGAAAGCCAGGCCAGGCCAAGGGCTTCCTGGGGCCTGGTCTGCACACACTAGAAGTTCTACCCTACCCCTGAAGACTAGAAATCTTCATCAAACCCTCTCTGTTCACCTTTTTCTCTTGTGGCCATGGCGGGATGTTCTATTTATGCCTTCTGAATTACTTGATTTGAATCATTTAATTTTGTCTGAGGAAGTTTCTGTTTTTTTGTTCTGTGTTGATTTTTATTGTTGTCTTGTGGGATGAAGATGGAACCCAGGCCTACTGAGTTACATCTTGCCCTGTTTCTTGTTTTCTAATTCAAATACATATCTATATGTCAGATAAGATGGGAAAGGTATAGGATATGTGTTAACAATGATGATTTTATGTGGTAAATATGAGTGGCCTTTATTTTCACTTTTTAAATCATCTATTTTTTTTCTAGATATTCTACAATAAATGTATTGATTTTTTTAAAAAACCCACCTTATGATTCCTTCCAAAGTTTCCTTTTGATTAGGTACATTCAAGCAGTAATGCTCACTTTGGTGAATTACTAATTTTTCAATATTGGTAAACACTGCTCTACTTCTTGTTTTTGTTACAAATCAGAGCTCCATAAAAGTTAACCATAGTTAACCATTCTCCCACTGATGGATATGTAAGTTGTTACCAGCTTTTTACTACTATAAGCAACATCAAATAAATGTTCTCTATTTACTTCTGCAAGTATTTCCTTGGCCTAGGTCTCTAGCAGGAAAATCTTGGGTCAAAAATGGCATGTTTAAAAACTGGTTAACAGTGAAAAATTGATCTCCTAAAAGATTATGTCAATTTTTATTGCCACTAAAAGTATATGTTTGTTAATATTA